CTCTACTGTGGTTTAGTCCAAATCTCTCTCCTGGGCAGAGAATAGAATAGAAGATTGAATAGAATAACATAGTGGGAAGGGACCTTGTAGGTCATCTAGTCCAACCCCGTGCTCAGGCAGGAAACACGACACCACTTCAGACAAAAAGTTGTCCGTTCTCTTCTTAAAAACCTCCAGCATTGGAGCGTTCACAACTTCTGGTGGCAAGCAGTTCCACTGGATATTTTTTTCTCATTTTTAAGAAGTTTCTCCTTACTTCCAGGTTGCTTCTCTCCTTGACGAGTTTCCGTCCGTTGCTTCTTCTCCTTTGGTGCTTTGGAAAATAAATTGACTTCCTCTTCTTCTTTGTGGCAGCTGCCCCAAATATTGGAGCGCTGCTATCATGTCAGCCCTAGTCCTTCTTTTCATTAAACTAGACATACCCAATTCCAGCAACCCTCCTTTCTATATTTTATCCTCCAGGCTAGAAACGGGGAAGCTGTGAGTTCTCGTCTTGCCTTAGGCAGAACAAAACAGCTGTTTGACTCATATATATTTTTCTTGCAATCGGTAAATCGCCTTTGAAATGAGAGATTGCCCTCAACTTACAAACAGCGGGAATTTCTCCAGGCAATGGTCAAGGGATTCAAAGAGACCAAAAAGAAGAAATATGTCCATGGAGATTCCCCGTCATCTATGTCATGATTGTCCCACAGGTGGTTTTTGCAAAAGGCAACTGGACTTTCTCGGGTTTTTTTTTTTTTCTTTGAAAACGTTTCGGTTCAGTCAGAACCGAGGAAGCTTTTTGGATGAGAAGTGAAACATTTTCAAGGGGGAAATAAAAAAAAAAAAAAAAAAGGATGTCCAGTGGGCTTTTTGAAAAAACCACCTTTGGGGTAAAAGAAATGTTTCCCTAGCGAATGAATGTCGCAGAAGTCCCCAAACTTGGCAAGTTTAAGACTTGAGGACTTCAACTCCCAGAATTCCTCCTCCTCCTCCAGTCATGTTAGCTCAGGAATTCTGGGAGTTGGAGTCCACCAGTCTTAAAGTTGCCAAGTTTGAAGACCCTTCTCTTAAAAGCTGCGCTGGCTGGCGAATTCTGGGAGTTGAAGTTCACAAGTCTTTTTTTTTTTTTTAAATTATTAGACAAACACAAAAAACAGAAAGAAACATTAAAAATGAACATGGTACAATCCTCCTAATCCACATAGTTGTCTGACATTGCTAAATCACATATAAAAATAGTGCATGTTTACATTCTATATACATAGTATACAATACGTATATATCTATATCTATATCATCTATCTATCTATCTATCTATCTATCTATCTATCTATCTATCTATCATCTATCTATCTATCTATCTATCTATCTATCTAATCTATATATCTATCTCTATATATCTATATCTATATCTATCTATCTATCTATCTATCTATCTATCTATCTATCTATCTATCTAATCATTTCTTATTATCTTGATCTTTTCTCTTTTCTAACCAACCATAAAACTTATCCCATACTTTGTAATAATCTGAATCATCCTTAGTTTGTAATTCTTTTGTCAATTTGTCCATTTTTGCGCCCATCCAAATTTTCCTAATTATTTCTATTTCACTTGGAGTTTCTTTACATTTCCACTGTTGTGCATAAGCCAATCTCGCAGCTGTGATTATACGAATTATTAAATATATAATATCCTTGTCATATTTTCCCACGTTAATTCCTAACCCCCCCCAGAAATTCAGGTCTATATTCTATTTTGATCATACATATTTCTTCTAATCATTTCTGAATTTTCTGCCCGGAACTTTTGGGCTTCTTTGCAATTCCACCATAAATGAAAATCCACAAATCTTAAAGTGGCCAAGTTTGGGGGACCCCTGGTCTAAGAGAACTAGGTATATCTAACTCTAGCCCAGGGGTCTTTAAACTTGACAGCTTGAAGACTTGAGGACTTCAACTCCCAGAATTCCTCCTCCTCCAGTCATGTTAACTCAGGAATTCTGGGAGTTGAAGTCCACGAGTCTTAAAGTGGCCACGTTTGAAGACCCTTAGACTCCAGTCTAAGAAAGAGAAGGATTAGGAGGGAATTGAGAGCAGTCTTCCAGTACTTAGGGGCTGTCATAGAGAATGACAGAATAGCAGAGGGACCTTGGAGGTCCTCTAGTCCACCCCACTGCTCAAGCAGCAAAACCCACAATATTTCAAACAAACGGTTATCCAATTTGCTCTTCTATTTTTTTTTTAAAAAACCTCTTGACTGAGCACCCTTGTTCCAAAGCGTTTGGAAGGCAGGTGGTGTGTGTGATTGTGTGTGTGTGTGTATGTGTGTGTGTGTCAACCTATTCTCCAAAGCATTGAAGGCAGGCGAAAAAGCACACGGTACTTTTCCAATGTGCTTTTAACAGCCGGAAGGTCATTCAACTCTCCAAGGTTTCAGGACGTCCTCTTCCAAATCGAAACCGCCATTCAACAATTCGCGCACGGTCCTTGGTGGCCTTTTTTTTCCCTGGAGATCGGTGTGTGTGTGTGTGTGTGTGTGTGTGTGTGTGTGTGTGTGTGTGTGTAAGCTGTGTAAAGGTCAAAAAAGTCACGATGGATGAACCTGCGCAGAGGTCAAAGAAGTCGAGTTGTGCCTGAGTGATCAAAGATGCACATTTTGCATCAGAATCCAAATGTAAGAAGCGCCTTTATTCAATCATACAATCAGAATGGAGCTGGAAGGGACCTTGGAGGTCATCTAGTCCAGCCCCCTGCTCAAGCAGCAGACCCTAACCCATTCCAGACAGACGGCTGTCCAATCTCTTCTTGAAAACCTCCAGTGTTGAAGCAACCATGACTTCTTCTGGCAGGCAGTTCCACGGGTTAGTTGTTTCTCACTGTCAGGGAATTAATTCCTCTTTAATTCCAGGTTGCTTCTCTCCTGGATTAGTGTGATGACCCAAAGGGGCGTGACACAAAAATAACCAAGGCACAAAAATAGAATAAAGTTCCTTGAATGCCTCCAACTTGGCCTCCAATGTCTAATTATCCTTGGCTGGAAATCAAACTCGTAAAGAAAACAGTTTACGGAGGGAGTAAGTGCAGTCCGCACCCAAAGTAAAGTTAATTAGAAATAACAAAACCCAACACGAACCACACTGAAGGAATTACTACACCAGGCAAGGATGATTAATTGCAGACTTCTGCCAGATAGCGCAGCCACCACAGTTGGGAGGAAGCCAAAACACAGATAAGCTCCAACAAGAATATTTCACGCTTTGCTTCCAGCACTGGGCCATGCGCAGTTTGTCCTTTTAAACAGTCCTCCCAGCTGCAGCCCATGAAGGGGATCAGGGCCCCTTCCTTCCCCGTAGACCATGCCATTCTTGTTTCTCCCTTATCTGTTCCTCCCTGCATGCCCTAGGATGAAGAGGGGATGGGCCTGGGTCTTCCCCTGAATGCCCAGCCTGGCCTGTGTCCTTCCCCAGCCTCCTCCACAACATCCGGAGCCACACTCTCACTCCCTGTCAGCTGTTCCTCCTCTTCTTCGGAGTCAGACTCCAACAGGGTAGTTTCCATCCGTTGCTTCTTGTCTTGACTTCGGGTGCTCTTCTCTGCCCTTTTCCCAAATTCTCAACGTCTTTTTTGTACTGTGGTGACCAACACTGAATGCAGGATTCCAGGTGTGGCCTTACTAAGGCTTTACAAAGCAGTACTAATACTAATACTTCACACGATTTTGATTCTAGGCCCCTGTTTATGCAACCAAGGATCGCATTGGCCTTTTTGGGTTGCGGCCGCACACGGCTGGCTCATATTTAAGGGATTGTCCCCTGGGATCCCAAGGTCCCTCTCACAGTGACTGTTATTGAGCCAGGTTTCGCTGAATCTGTATTCGTGCCTTTAGTTTTTCCTGCCTAAATGTAAAACCTTACTTTTGTCCACATTAGAATAGAATAGAAATAGGAAAGGAATGGAATGGAATGGAATAGAATAGAATAGAATAGAAAATGAATAAAATAGAATAGAATAGAATAGAATAGAAAATGAATAAAATAGAATAGAATAGAAAATGAATAGAATATAATAGAATGGAATAGAATAGAAAATGAATAAAATAGAATAGAATAGAATAGAAAATGAATAGAATAGAATAGAATAGAATGGAATGGAATGGAATTGAATGGGATGGGATGGGATGGGATGGGATGGAATAGAATAGAATAGAATAGAAAATGAATAGAATAGAATAGAATAGAATAGAATGGAATGGAATGGAATGGAATAGAATAGAATATGAATGGAATGGAATGGGATGGGATGGAATAGAATAGAATAGAATGGAATGGAATGGAATGGAATGGAATGGAATGGAATGGAATGGAATGGAATGGAATGGGATGGAATGGAATAGATTGAAATAGAATAGAATAGAATAGAATAGAATAGAATAGAATAGAATAGAATAGAATAGAATAGAATAGAATAGAGTAGAGTAGAGTAGAGTAGAA